TTTCTTTCTTTCCCTCTCCAGCCAGCAGTCTCTTTGAATGTGGGTAGAAACAGTAATTCCCAATGTTGTCAAAAACCAACAAAATAGTCTATTTTTTCCAAATTTATGTTATCATCAGCTTTAGGCAGACAGAAGCATTGTTTTTCAATATTTCTAATTATTTTTTGAGCAATTTAATCATGCTCTCCACACAGCTGGTTCACAGATGCCTGTGTAAATGTTACTGGAACTCTGCAGCTTTACTGTTTCATCTCTTCTGCACAGGGTTCCCCACCTGCCTGCAGGACAAAGTCTGCTAAATAGTCCTCAGCTCATCCCTTTTTAAAAGAAGGCATCTTGCATTTACTCAGTTGCCTAAATATGCTACTATAATAGTATCTACTGATATCCTGACTTAAAGCAACTTCTTAGACAAACCAGAATGTGTATTTTTTTTTCACAGAGATTAAAAGTTTGGTTGATAAATTAGGTGCATTTTCACTATCTTTATCTGATTATGAGGGCAGAGATGAATATTTTGCAAAGTGTAATTTTTAGAGCTGTTTTTCTGAAGAAGCATCATTTCATATCCTGGTAAATACAATGATAAATTTATGAACTTGTAAGCATCTTTATATATTACAGTTTGATGATTGTAATTATTTAATGTGCATTTAACAGATTGAAAAAGGAGTTATCTGACAGATTTTAAACAGTGTGCGTTGGGGAATAATCACTAAGCATGAAATGTTTCTCATGGTGTTCCTCTGGGATTGCCACTCAGACTGGTGTGTTTCACCAACAGAGTAAATATACACAGTCATTGGCATGTCGTGCACATGGCACAGGAGGTGATGAAATGACCGCTCATACAGATTGGTCAGGTTCAGTCAATGAATTGTATCCCCCTTAAAAAAAAAGGTGTCTTAATGCAGCCAGTGCAAGTTAAACGTAAGACCACACAATGAAGGCTGTACTTACCTGACAATAAACTGGAGATGGGTTCCTCTGAATTTACCGGGCACTCTTGACCACATGGGAGCACGGCATGGTGCTAAGGCAAAAAGACCCAGTGCGGCCCTTGAATGTATAGGAAAAGGGACAGTCTGTCAGAGAATCATAGAACCGTTTAGGTTGGAAAAGACCTTTCAGATCATCAAGTCCAACCGTTAACGGTGCCAAGTCCACCCCTAAACCATGTCCCTAAGCACCACACCTACCCATTTTTTAAACACCTCCAGGGATGGTGACTCCACCACTTTCCTGGGCAGCCTGTTCCAATGCTTGACAACCCTTTCGGTGAAGACATTTTTCCCAATATCCAATCTAAACCTCCCCTGGTGCAACTTGAGGCCGTTTCCTCTTAGCCTATCGCTTGTTACTTGGGAGAAAAGACCAACACTCCCCTCGCTACAACCTCCTTTCAGGTGGTTGTAGAGAGCAATAAGGTAACATGTCCTCATAAGACTTGTTCTCCAGACCCTTCACCAGCCTCGTTGCCCTTCTCTGGACATGCTCCAGCACCTCAATGTTCTTCTTGTAGTGAGGGGCCCAAAACTGAACACAGTATTCGAGGTGCGGCCTCACCAGTGCGCACAGGGGGACGAGGCAGGGGTTTGATACTAACCCTGCGCATGGGCATTTGTGACGCTGCTTTTTTGCAATGCAGCGATTTAGCATCAGTCAGGATCATAGATGGTGCAGGAAAGAGCTTCAGGACTACTTAGAGTTAGATAGTTTAAAGGGAGCTCAGGCTTTGAGGTTTGAACCTCCTCTCTGTTATAATAAATTTTAAATGGTTATTGAAGCTACAGGAATATTTAAATTTTACAAGCCACCCTTCACCCTAAACAAAAATAAATCAACAGCAAAACTCCTGAGCCCAGACTCCTATTATACTGGCAGTAGTGATTTATTTGCCAATGAGTGTGATCATTTTGAAATCAAGAAACACTCTTTACAAAAGTCTTACAAATATCACAGAGATTTTTGCACATAGACTGATGTGCTTCATATCTAGTAATGGGCAGGAGTGTGAAACAAAGAGTATGCGCCAGAGAAATATAACACTGAAATTTGGCTTAATGCAACTTTTTTGGCAACTTTTGAAGCTTGACCAACAACTTTGCGTGCCGTTATAATGCCCAACTACATACCCCAGTGTGATCTGCCTTCTATTTTGCTGCGACCAAGCATCGTGCTGCTGACCACCGTTACTCGCCTCTCTGGGCAGCGTTTGGTGCATGTGCAAAAGGGATATTCTCCAGCTCTATGCTGAAGGTGGGGGATATTGAAGAACCTTTTAAAGGCCTGGGAAAAATAGGATTGATTGAGGATGAAGAGGTACCTTCATGCTTGTGAAGCATGTCAGCGTGTGAAACGTGGGCAGAGAGAGAAAAAGGGGAGGGGGGGCTGGTTGGCTGATTTTGTTTGTTCTTTTAACTAAGCCAGGAAGTGGGAAATATACCCTACATACCAAGAGGGATTTTAAAAAGCAGACAGTTTAATCACCTAATAGATCTCACTTTATTGCAATCATGATTTAACAGGAAAGTTTTGCTCTTCTGAAAGAGAACAGGTACTCTACTAAATTAGATGAAGCACATAATGTCATGTTAAAAACAACTGAGATATACTTAAGATTTTTTAAGGATATGGAGTTTGCAAACGAGTATATATAAAACTCAGTATGTATAAAACTGAACTCTGTTAAAAGCATAACTGGGAAATAACAGGAAAATTTTCAGTGTATGATCCTTAAACTGAGAGAACATTAGAGAGAACAAAATTGTGTCACCATATAATTAAAGACTGATGATGCACACAGACAATATTTAAGTTGGGGCTACATGTGGAATATTAATTCAGACATTTGCTAACTTTTGAATGTTTCATTTTGCAGTGTTAATAATGTTCATTTAGCATATGTTATCTACTTTTCTTTACAGTATCTTGGAGAGATGTACTTGAAATCAGTTTAAATAGGTAAGTAGGACTTATAAATGATTGATGAGCTTTTTTCCCTGTCTAAATGACATAATAGCAAATAATTGTGGGAATATCTTGGATATATAAGCAGAATCACTCTCTTTATCAGAGCAAAATAATGCTTTTCCTGCTTTCATTTCAGTCACTAAGGTATTATATTAGGAATAGATATGAATATTCTGAAGCATTTGCTTTTCCAGATCCACCAGAATTCTTTTTCTGTGGTTCTCCGAGTCCCAATTATTATAAATTCCCAATTACCTATCAAATTCATGACTAAAGAAAACATTAATATTGCCAACTTATATGCATATTTTGCATTCTTTAGAAAGTGTGTAGCATTTTTTTTATCGAGTCCTGCAACAGGGAATAGTGACGTTTATTAGTCCATCATCTCATACACGCAAAGGTTTTTTTGGTGCCGCTTTCTTACTACAGAAAGATCAAAAGTGCACAAACAAAAACAAACCCAGTATGCGCTGACCCTTCATTCTATTAGAGCAGGCTGTTCTGCATGCATGTATAAAAATAATAATCAGTCATTAATAAATACTGAACATTTGTAATGAAGGTCTGGTTCCAAGACCAACTCAGTCTGAGCATCTTCAGTGGATTAATTGCTATGAGATCATATATCTCAGCTGCAGAAAGGCTAAATGGAAGTTTTAATGTGCTGCAAGCCAGCTGCATCAATGTGACTTACTCCCTCTAGTCAAGCAACATCAATTTCAGAAGCAGCTATTATCCACACCCTTTCTTTTAGGGTTCTTTTCTTAATATTATAAATTGCTATTACAGAAGAATTGGAATTGGGAACGTTGCTAATTAGTACCTTCCTTTTGAAGGCTAAGATTTTAAATTACTCCTGATATAGATCAGATACTGAATCTGCTAGAAAAAAAATCAGGTATCCTCATTCTAAAGCAGCACTTCGTTCTCTTCCCCTGGAAGGGGAAGGGATAAGCTTCCCTTAGAAGTGTCTCTCTTCCCAGCCCTTAGTCTGACATGAATTTGGCACTGGATCTCTACAAAGTTGCAAGGCAGGAAGAGTAGTTGTTGCTGTATAAATGTGCAATAAGAGCTCTCCAACACACGTAACTCTTCCGCATCCCCAACCCCATGCAGCTGCCTCACGAGCCTCAATACCTTTAAAGAACAGCATAGGATTTTCTCTTTTTCTTAATTAATTAAAAGGACCATCTGATAGACTTTGTAGCACACAATCCTAAATTAGGTTAGAGGATTAGTTTAGAGGATTTATCATGTGTAGTTTGCATGTATTCACAGAATGGAGAATGGAGAACAAAATTCTCATATTAAATGGGGTGTAATTTTTAAGGAGATCCATACTTAGTGTCAGAATCTGATGCCCAGTACATACTTAAACTGTCTTGTCTAATCCTTTGTAAATTCCCCTGCCAACATAACTAGATTTGTGCCACTGCTTCCACCGGCATCTTTAGCTGAGGGAATCCCAGGAGTGTTACCAGATATTTTATACACTGCCAGTGTAATGGATTTATCAAACCACTGCAAACCATCACAAGCCAGAGCAGAGCCAAGGACATCGTAAGTCAGGCTGAGGGCGGATTTGGCCCTTCGCAGCATCACCCTCCTGGGAAGCAGCAAGACGACCCGATCGTTTTAAAGCTCTAGTCAGTGGTACCCACTGGAGCTTTGCGAATCACCCAAGATACTGGCCCCCCGATACGGGGCCAGTCTCCTCAAGTCAGTCACTGCACAAATGAATGTGACCGTGAGCGCCGCGGTGCTGACGAGGGAGATTTCCACACGGCTTTGTCTGACTGTTTCTAGCAAACTAACAAAGCCATGGGAAATGCTAGTACATTGATTCTGTAAACATAGATATAATACCTTCTGTTCTGAATTTTACAAGATGTAATTAATTTGCACAATGTAATTTTAATTTTTACAAGACAAGGATAAATAAGACAAAAATGGATAGAAGGAATTTGCTTTTCCATATGTTTTTGTTTAATGACAGATATTTATAATATCAGTTTTATTAAAGGATATTAAAAGATGTAGGCACAAGACTTTCTCAAGGAGAAACTCCTTGTTGTAGTGTTTCAACTCGGTTTAACTTTAAGTTCACTACCTCTGGAAACCAAAGTGAATTGTGGCATGAGATGGGTAACAAAGATTTCCAGGACAGAAAATACAAAGTTTAACTTTGTGTGAATGATACAGCACCCTCCTGAGGTGGTCACATGCATCCAGATCCATCAGACAACTAGAAGGCATTGGTATTGGAAAAATTTTGCCTAAAAAATGCACTGAATCAATGCATCTGAATTCCAGGTTCTGGTAGAGGAAAGTCTTAACAACTTGGGAGATACTAACATGTAAGGCTCGTGCAGGGCTGTAAAATTTGTACTTCTCTAGTTGCCGGAAAAAACATTAGCCCAGTACCAAGGGTTAACAGTCAAGATTCAATCAATGTGACTTGTTTGGAAGCTAACTGTTAAAAAGATTTAAGTAAAGAGCTGATACGCCTCCACCATAGTTTCCAGAGTTGCTAATAAAGCCTTCATCTGTTCTCCAGGGAAAAAAAACATGTTTGCAGATATTTCTTGAAGAAACTGTGGTAGGTTTTGAAAAGTTTCTAGCTCTCTAAAATATGTATCTACTAACCAATCTGCAGAAAATGTATTTTTCATCTTACAGTTATCACGATCCATTACTTGAAGTACATTTGAACAAGCTACCTCTCTGAGAGTTAAAGTAAAGGGTGAAGACAGATTATAAACTGAACAAAAATTCAGCAGCATCTTATTAAATAAAATCGACCACAGTTCTCTCTGCTGACTGCAAAAATCTTGTTCTGTGTGTTCACAGAAGCTTTCAATGTTCTCTTCTGGATGAACAACATTCAGAAGTTCTTGCTTCACTGGTACGGACTCAACATAATCCAGTGGCAATTTTCCATTGGAGTCCCTCTGCTGTAGAAGGACTGGTCCTGCAGGGAAAATATAAACATTAATAGTAACAGCACATTTGACTTGGCAGCCGAACAAGATTTTGGTTTGGTTTTTGCCAGGAGCTAGGAGTCTGTTTAAATTCCTTTTCGTACTAAGTTATGTTGATGTAACTGATGAGTTACACATTTGCAATACAATCTAGAACATGTGGAGAGAACCTTTTTAACAGTTTCTTTATATTTTCTTAATTTTCTTCCCAGTTTTGCTAGGTTAAAAGCCAAGGGTTATCATATAGAAATGGACAAGAAATGCAAATGTTGCTTATCCTAAAATTTCAAGTAACAACACATAAGAGTATGTAAAAATGTAATGTTATTACTGTTGCAAAATTCCATTAAATATTTTATAGACCAGGTTATTTGCTGACACTGACTCCAAATTAATGGCATGTTACTATGGATGGTGTGGTCAACCTTTTCCTAGGCTAGGCAGCAAGGTAAACTATTGAGGTAGGAATCCTAGTCTCCCCTAACAACCGAGTTTCAAAATTTGGTCTTAACAGATTTCTGAAATGCAAAAATTAATTTCTCTAATAAATAGATTTAAAGTAAGTAATTGGGACATGTTTTACTTGTTCCGATTATACTACAATCTTTTGGTATTTCCTGTTTATTAGTACAATGGAGCTATTAATATTTAAATAGTTTACAGATGTCTTGATAAGTTTATGAAAGGCTGTATCAGTAAGAAAAAAATGAAGGCAGTTAACACACTGCAGGTCGTGTTTTTCAAAGATGAAAGCATCAGGAATCTTCTTACATAAATTTGGGCTACTATACTAAAGTAATGATGCAATTTTAACTTGAATACATTTTCAGAAATATATTTTAATTACAAAAGGTAATTCACCGCATTACATATCCATACTAGAGGTTTTAACTTTGCTGTGATTAAAGCTGTATTGCTTTACGCCATCACTGATTATGCAATATAATTAAATTTTGGCTGAAGGTTTTTTGGAGAAAGAAAGTGAAAAAAGTTTTTGCAGAGATGCGTTATAAATTATTGAGCTGAGTAAATCCACACACTGAATGGGTAACATGCTTTCTACCATAGCCTTGTCAGCTATTTGACAGGCCAAAACCCAGAGTATGACAAAGGCAAAGATAAGGGTACACGCAGCCTTATAGTTGCCAGAAAACCTTGATGAATGCAAGTGCAAGTAGAGCTCTTCCCCTAGGACAACAGGATCATCCACTACCTATTCTTCACAATAGCCTAGGAAAAATGCACATCTGTCAGTGCAGTGCCATTTCCAATTGAGGAGCTGGGCTTACTATAATATTGGCTATTGCATCACTTAGACCGATTGAACTGAGCCCAGGTATTGGCTTGGCATGTCAGATACATGGTTCAGGAGATATATAAAACACCTGGGAGCCACAGAACTGAAGCTCAGCAAACACAGAGGTAGAACTGCAGGGGAATGTATTGATTATAAGCCGGTGCTTGCACAACAGACTCAGAAATAGCCTTTAGGGGGCAGGAGAAGACTGTAAATACAGTGTCTTATGCCAAGAATGAAATAAAATTTTGTTTCTCTACCTTAATTAAGTAATAGGCCATCTAAATACAGTGCATTCTTCTGCCTCATGGCTATAAGCAGAATGATTTTTATTGAAAAAATTTGGACTCAGCATATAATGCACAGAAATTAAACTGACACAGTAGGTCAATGGTAAGGATATCGCAAATACTCATTTTAGTAAATGAATTAAAAGTAGGAAGAGTTGATACCCAAGACCATTCTTTGCAGTTGTTTTTTAAAAAAACATGCTAAGTTAATTATATTGATACAGTATATTTCAAGACAAGACACAAGTTCCCTGTCACTGAACAAAAAATACTGTTCAAAACATTTATCATCTGTCTGCCTAAGGGGCAATGTATCTTTTTTTAGAAACTAAGGCATCCCTCCCACTATTATCCCTAAACAGCAGTTATCACAATTACAATATAGATTCCTTTCTTAAACTAATTACCAAGCTAATTGTGTTCTTCAAAGACCATCACATTAATTTTCATAAATGCTGAACAAATTTATGTTGAAATACATGATTATATAGAGATTTACTGATCTATTTTTGCATCGTGGTAAAAATAGATCAAAACAAAAGAAAATCCTTAGCTTTGCCTGGTGACTAGGTAATCTTTATCTTCATTAATGAGTTTGGAGAATATAGTTACAATGCATATGGTGTAAAATGCAGAATAAAAACATTACCATATTGGAAAAAAATGTGAAAATCCTGGTTAATTTCCTATTCAGCTGATCAAGATAAGTGTGAAAACAGTATTATTTTTATTGTGACCAAAACAGCTTGGCTTAAAAATGTTTTAAAATAAATATTTCATAATAACATTGTATTTTAAGCAACTATTAAGAAAAACACCACGAACTTCATATGGACTCGGAACAGTGGATAATTTCCCTAAACCAGTTTAGCATAAATACACTCACCCCCATGCTGAAGTAGCAGCTTGCCAATTTCTACATGTCCATTTGACAGTGCATCATGCAAAGGAGTCACCCCGTCCACTTGACTGAGCAGGTCTACCTCTGGACAACGTTGCAAAATTTCACGGACACACACTGTGCTGCCATGGTTACAGGCTTCATGCAAAGGCGTCCAGCCAGCATAGTCTGAATTATAAATCAAGGGAAGTTTTAAAACAGCAGAAGTAGTACTAAAATGCTAATAATGTAATTCATTAGACAGCAAAACACTTTACTTTTTAGTATTCATCATGGCTACAGTGGCAGCTTGTGATTTCAAAACAAGAAATTCTATTGAAAAACATCTGAAAAAAATTAAATAGCATTTTTAAAAATCAATAGAAAATGTGATGTTAAAACGCACTTTAGCTATAAATTAACCTTTCCTCAATTTTTGCCATGAAGTCCTCATTTTGTGTTGTTTAAAATAATAAAGACAGTTTAATAGTATAAATACAAACTTTATTACCAAACAGATATTAATACAGTTCTTTATGTGGCTTAATTTCTTAGCTCTGTAGAGAAAATTAATAACTTACCTTT